TGAGTCAGGCACACACATTAGTCCTCAGACTGATATCTTTGTTCTTGAACAATTTAAAGAGGTCTTGTGTAGCAGATCTGCTTAATGCAATACGTTGTTTGATGTCTTGATTGCTGCTTCCATGAGTGTTGATGGTGGATCCAAGCAAACTGGTTCTCCTTTGTAGGTAACTTTTCATTTTTTTCCAAGCTGCTTTCAGGATTTTTCCCCTCAGCTTTGATTTTGGAGAATTTGATTATGACATGTCTTGGTGATTTTCTTTTGGGGTATATCCCGTTTGATGTTTGATCAACTTTTTGTGTAGTTATCTTCTTGTCTTTCTTAACATTAGGGGAATTTTCTTCCAACAGCTCTTCAACTTTATTTTCTGTATTTTGCTTTGAGTCTTCCTGTTCTGGAGTTTCAATCACTGTAGGTTATTTCTCTTCATGTTTTCTCATGTAAATCTTAGGTTTTGTTCAGAGTTTTTTCTTTGTTCTTCTAGCTTACTAGTATTAAGAGACCTATGTTCAAGCTCACTAATTCAGGCTTCCTTTGATTCAAATCTACTCCTTTTCCCTTTCAATGTATTGTCCATTTCTGAGTTCTTATTAGTCTCCTGGATTTCTATTTGCAGGTTTTGTACTATTTCCAATTATTTATATGTTTTGCTTGATTGTTCCTGTAGTGCTTTTCTGAATTCCTCCTTGTTTTCCTCAAATTTTCTGTTAATCATTTGGAAGTACTTAAATATCATTCTCTTGAATTCTTTTCAGGTAGTTCCAATGCCTTTTGTCCCTCAAAAATGTTTTTTTAGCTCTGATTGTTGTTAAATGCCATCGAGTCAATTCCGACCCATAGCAACCCTGTATAGGGTTTCCAAGGAGCAGCTGGTGAAAGGATGGCATAATGAGCTATGGATGTTAACAACAGTATAAAATGAGCCATCTCAGCAGCAGGAGGTGGGAATGTCATGACCAACAAAGAGCCAGGAGTAGAGCAAGTCCTTTGGACCTAGATATCCCTGAGCATTGAACCTCTTTGACCCAGGGACAGAAAACTGTGGCCCTAGAGAAGTGGTAGAGGAGCAGCAGCAGCAGAAACCAGATCCAGAGCACGAGATGGAGCAATGGGCCTCCCAGCCCACAGAGCAAGTTAAGCTGAGTGCCTTTGGGTGGGAAGCATCCTCGCAGAATAGTGTGTCTCTGGGTCCTGGTGTGGCACTGTGGATTAATGCACCAGACTGCAAAGCCGTTTGAACTGCAAGGTTGGCAGTTCAAGCTCACCAGTCGTTCCTTGGAAACCCTATACAGGGTCACTATGGGTCGGAACTGACTTACTGGCACTTAACAACAATAAGGCATTTAATTGACCTAAAGCTGAATGCCTTCAGGCCGAGGTTTGTGGTAGAGAGGTGTGCCTTCGGACATTTGTTAGCCGCCCTCAAAGAGTTCTGTAACATTGGCAGAGGCCTGCCTATGGGCATGGCTGAGGCAAGACTGTCTTGACTGGAACAACTGAGCCTGGGTCGCTATGAGTTGGAACCAACTCGATGACACTTAACAACCACAATTTCTAACCTGTATTGTAACCTGTTAACTTCCTTAATAAACTCCGAAACTCTAAGTATTGTCTGAGTTCTGTGCGGCCACTGCAATGAATTCTTGAACCCAGTAGAGAAGTTGAGTGTTGTGAGAGAGATACCTGGTGTCACTTTTTTCACCAGACCTTTCTTCTGAGTTACCTCTAAGTGAGTTCAAACCACCACCATTTAGGTTAATGCAAACCATTTGTGCCATCTAGGGACCTCATTCATCTTTTCATTGACCCAAATTCTTCCATTCACTTATTCATTCCCCACCCCCACCCCCATTTATTTAATACTAAACCTCCATTCATGCTAAGCTCTGGTGCCAGGAGTAAAAACAGTCCCTTCCCTAAAGGAGTTTTCAGAATGTAGCATCCATGATTGGAATCCTCCCCTCTTCCAGCTCCTGAGTACTGTTCTAGTGAGGGACAGGGACAGCTCTGACATTCCATCACTGTCCAGAAGGTGGTAGCACACAGGCTAAGAGAGTTACCTGACATGGAAGGTCAGGGCAGGTTGCATGGCCGGGAGAAAAAAGTACTGCCCCATTTTCTGCAAAAGAACTCCATACTCGACATCCATTCATGAAGCAGATGTTGTTAGGCTCCATGGAGTCCGTGCTGGCTCACAGCAACTGTGTATAGGGTCGCCAAGGAGTGCTGGTGGGTTTGAACCTACAACCTTGTAGTTCTCACTCAGTTCAGTCCTTATCCTACAGTGCCACATCCCTGAACCTTAACCATTAAGTCACAGTGTTCACTGTCTCTTTGTCTTTGTGAGCTAGCCAAGTCAGAAGATCCAGGGAGTTGGCTTAAATGTAGAATTTATTACCAGGAGGCAAGGGCAGCTGCAGAGAAACCAAAGGCTGGGCTACAGCTTGGCCTTTGGAACCAGAGTGCTCCATTACTCATCTTGGTTGTTTTTGTACAGTGACCCTAACCTAGTATTGTCTGTAGACTGGGATTACCTGTTCCTCAAAATGGGAGATATGGTCATAGCAGATTGGCCCTGGTACTAGTAGGAGGTGACAATCTGCAAGCACTGCGCAGTTACCAGTGGCCCTGGGAGTCTCTCCTCAATAGAGAGCTGCTGCAGTGCATTTGGGTTTGCAAGACCAGCTGCACAGGCTGTTTGGTAGTACCCTCCATGGAGCAGAGCTGCAGCTGGTGGAGATGCCAGGGTGGTTCCAGCTCCTGCCCATGGCTGTGGGGACAAACCTGGAGACTGCCTCATACTGACTCTCAAAGTTCCCTAAGGGGATTGAGTCCCAGGTGCCCATAACATGGGGTGTTTGATGGGCTCACTTCCCCACTTCCCTCCCCCATGCTTCCTGGAATCCCAGTTCCCGTGACATGTTTAACCCACAATCCTTGTCTCTGAGTCAGCTTCTGGAAACCCAACCCAAGACTTCTGTGGACTTAACAGCTAGGTGTCCTAGCTAAGTGAAGAGAAATCTGAAAAATAAGAGCACACATTTTTCTCTTCAGTTGTACCTTTTTAACACACATAAAAATTTTTTTTTTTTTTTTTTAAATTCAGAGCTTTTATTAAAAACAGTTTAGGGAAACTATCAACAAACATCAGGACAATATTTAAATACATTAGAAAATAGAAAAATTAAGATGAAATAAATACAGCTATCTAACAATATAGAGATCGTGGTGGCTCTGGAGCACAAGCATGTAGCTTGCAAGCCACAAAGTTAACGGTTCAAGTCCACCAGCAGCTCCGTGGGTGACAAACAAGGTTTTCTGCCCCTGCAAAGATTTGTAGCCTCAGAAACCCTACACAGGGTTGATATAAGTCAGAACCTGCACCACAGCACTTGACAACAACCATAACAATGCAAAGTCTCAGCTTAGGTTAAAGTTGCTTTAACCTAAGGCACTACACAGCCACAGCCCAGCCCGTGTGAATACGAAAGGACTTCATGAACAGGAAATGCCACAACAAATTATACTGATGACCAGTCTTTTCTAATGCTTTCCACTGTTTTTTGGTGTTGTTCCATTTAATAAAATATAAAGGACCTGGAATTTATAATTACTTAACACCCTGGCCTCTAGCAGAAATCGGAAGCTTTGAAAGTAATTCTTCAAAGGAATATGTTGTTGTTACGTACCTTAGATTCTTTCGGACTCATAGTGACCCTGCACAGGGTTTCCAAGGCTGTAAATCTTGACAGAAGCAGAAAGCCTCATCTTTCTTCCAGGGAACAGCTGGTAGTTTCAAACTGCTGACCTTGAGGTTAGCAGCCTGATTCGTAACCATGTTACCAGAGTGCCTTTCAAAGGAATATGGAGTATGGAATTTCCTCTTAGACTAATAAAGCTGTCTTGGAACTAGACAGAGGAGGTTGTTGCACAATATTGTGAAGACACTAAATGTCACTGAATTGTTCACTTTAATAACAAAACCAAAAAAAGGGTAATGATTAATTTTGTTGTATGGATTTTACCTCAAAAATTAAAAAGTTAAAGACAACAGTGGTGGTGGTTATGTGCCATGGAGTCTCTTCCGACTCATAGTGACCCTGTATTGAGTTTTTGAGGCTATAAATCTTTATGGGAGCAGAGATCCTCATTTTTTTCTTACGAAGCAACTGGTAGGTTTGAACTGCTGACTTTGAGATTAGCAGTCCACCATGTAACTCACTATCCTGTGACGGTAACTTTTAGTTATTCTGAATGATCATCACAGCTCTGCTGGTGGCCCCGGAAGAGCAACAGCCTAGCTCTGGACATTTCCCTGGGAGCTTGTCCTGAGTCACAGCCTGTCAGCACCAGGGTTCCAGTCTGTCCTTCCTCCTCCTGGGTGGGGCTCTGGCTTCTGAGAGCTGTTTCTGGACCAGGAAGCAGGGAACAGGAAGGGGAGGCAGAAGGCAGTAGACTAGAAGTGAGACTAGAAGTGAATGCTTCTGGTCACAGCGAGTTTGGGGGCCACAGGTTGGAGATGCCCAGGGTTCTCCTCTGAATCCCCCTGACATGGCAGACCCCTGCTACATACACCTGAGATCTTCCTGAGCCTTCACCACATGCGGGTGGTATCACAGATGAAGAAACTGAGTTTCCGAGAGGAAAGGAAAATGGCAGAGCTGGGATTTGAATGTAAGCACTCTTATCCCTCCATTTCAACACCATGGGCCCACTGGATTTTTCTTTCTCTTCCTAGGAGACTGCTGAACTGGGAGACTCAGTGGGGGAGGAGGAAGAAAGGGTGCTGGAGGACAGCACGGGGTTCAGAGAGACCAGACGTGACTCCAGCAAGACCAGCACCCCCCCATTAATTCCATACAGCCACTCAGTTGTGCCAGTCCTCGATGGCCACTGTGGCCTGTCCTCACCTGGTTCATGTTGGGTGCCCAGAGGTGCCGTGTCTTCCGGTGCCTTGGGAAAGGCAGCAGCCCCAGACCCGGTGCGGAAGCAGGGGCAGCTCACCTGGCCATGTAATGTCCGAGTAGCTCACCCCTGCCCTCAATCCTCTGGGAGCTCTCAGCCCTGCAGCTGCCAGCACCACTGTCCTCAGTGTCCCATTCCTCCCCACTTTCCTCTTCCTCCTCTTCTGGGCTGCTGTCCCAACAGAAGGTCAGTGTCCCAAGAGAAACCAGAGGCTCCCTGAGGATCAGATTCGGTTCTGCTGGTGTGGAGCCCCAAGTAGTCCAAGAGGAGAGGTCGTTTTTGGATGGCTCTGCCAAGGAAGCAGAGTCCTTGGAGAACTGAGGTCGTGGGAGAGGCTCCCAGTGACCATCCTCAGCCACCTGCTTCCCTGGGTCCTTCTTGACCAAATAGCAGGCGGTCTCAGCCCCATCCCAGAAGGCCGAATCCACAGTGCTAGGCCAGCTTCTGTCTGAAGAATCCCAAGCAGATGAGCCTCTGACCTGGACCAGAGTCTGGGGAGCCCCTAGGTCCACTCCATCGGCCTTAGGGCACTGTGGATTCTGGTGTCTCTGGCCCAGGAAGGAGGCTGACTTAATGTAGGGCTGAGAGCTGACCTCCTCGGTGTCTTCCTCCTCAGTATCAGAGCCTGCCTGCACGGTGGCTTGAGTCTTGACTCCAGCAGTTGGTCGGACCCTTCTGATGAGTTCCTTCTGGGGACAGAGGATCAAGCTCTCTGGGGACTCGGGGATACTGGGCTGTAAGGTTGTCGTGGGGTGTGTGTATCCAGAAAAGTCCTGATGTGGGGAGGGGAGAGAAGAGCAGAACATTGACGTTTTCTTAAAGCATGACATTTGCCCTGACTTTTCAGGTCTGGGAACAGACTCTGTGGCAAGGATTCAGATGCAGTTTCTTTGGGAGGGATCCAGGAAACACAAAAGCAGCCAACAAAGGGGTCACGAACCCAATCCCCACTTCTGGACAGCTGGGAGCCCAGGGAGCCACTGCAGAACACCTCCTCCAGAACTACCTATCTGGGGGCTGGGGGCCTGGGGTGTTTATCCCCAGCTTCTGTTAGTCTTTGGAGGAAGGACAGGGGAGGCATGGTGGTGGGGGTGCTAAGTCCCTGCCACATGTGGATTCTTTTGTTGTGAAGTGCCATCAAGTCAGTTCCAAACCCATAGTGACCCTGTATAGGGTTTCCAAGGAGCAGCTGGTGAGCTTGAACCACTGACCTTGCACTTCAAACCGACTTTGCAGTCTGATGCATTAACCCACAGTGGCTCTAGCAGCCATTGAATGAACCCAGGAAACTGTAACGGGATGGTTGAGGGGAGAGGGACAGGGCCTAGACATGTCGACCACACAGTTACTGGGCAGTCAATGGGGTTTCCCATAGGTCCTGGAGCCAGAAACCTTGAAAATACTGCGTGGTACAGGGGCATCCCCAAATCCATCCTCAAAGCCCCATCCCCTCAACCCCACTACCCAGGGATCCTCAACTATGGCCAAGCTTTACTTACTAGGCTCTTGAAAAAACAAGTCTGACCTGTTTGACTTCTCAAGGGTTCCCCAGATTCAAAGCAAGTCAGCAGCCAGGTGAGAGAATTCTGAGATCCTTGGTTAAACTGTGAACTAAACGCTGGGCTTTTTGAAGACTTCCCCTTTGGGCCCCACTCTTCACTTCCCCCTTCTCGGCTTCTCTCCTGAGTGCCAATCTGCTCTGGGCACCTGACACATCCTTAGCAGAGGTGAGGTGATTGAACTAAGGAGCACTTCACCCAGCTAGGCATGTTGGCTATCTTAATGAGATGCCAAAGGAATGAATTACTAATGGTGGATATTCAGACACAAAAACAGGAGAGTTTTGCTATCTTGACCATCTTGATAGTCTATTGTAACTATTTGTAAATCTAGTTCCACTTCCTTACACCCTGTCATCTCCCGGAGACTAGACATACCAGGGCCTGTGGCATCTTTCCCTGCTGAAACCAGGGGTTCCCCCTGAAGCTCCTCCAGATTGGACCCCCTATGGCAGTGACCAACAGCAATGGCAGCAGTAGTAGCAACAGTACCAGGAATGGCCAGCTGATTCCTAAGGAAGGAAACAGTAACGAATGAGTCACAACGCTGGCTCACACTGATCACCTGCATTTGTGCCGAGCGCCTCACAAACCCGCTCCGAGTTCATCCGCATAAGGATCAGAGCACCGGAGGGCAGTGGTGGTTCCCTGGCAGAATTCTCGCCTTCCATATGGGAGACCCAAGTTCAATTCCTGGCCAGTGGAGGCTTAAGTGCTGCTACAAAGCTGACCAGGTTTCAGCAGAGCTTCTAGATTAACGTGGACTAGGAAGAGAGGTCTGGTGACCGACTTCTAAAAATCAGCCAGGGAAGACTTCATGGATCACAACAGTCAGACCCACAGCCGATCATGGGGATGGTTCAGGACTGGTCAGCGTCTCGTTTCATTGTGCAGCATTCCGTCACCATTGGTGAATGCATATTGCAGAAACCAAGCTTCAGAAAGGTCTATAAACTGGCCAAAGGCACCACATGAGTGTGCTGGAAATCTGGATTTTAATCTAAGGAAGTGTCTCAAGTACTCACTCTCTGAACTACACATCATGGAGCTCCTGAGACCCAGGAAGGAGCTTTTCCACGGTACCACTGTGTACCCACCTGGGGCCTCCAGGGGGAAGCAGATAGGCTTGGAGAACTCGCTGTATTTGCGGGTAATGAAGTAATAGACCGTTCTGGCGCTGAGGCAGTGGTACCCTCTTGTAGCTGGTTGGATGAGGATCTGGACTGGCTGGTTGTGGGACATGGCTGGAAATCGGGTCTGTTTGAAGAGACAGGCAAGTGAGTAGAGCCTCTAGGGGTTGACTGTTTGGTCAGGCTGGGGTGGGGCTAGCAGGCAGGGTACAACTGGGACATCCCCGTCCCAACCTTCTTTTTTCTGCGTTAGCAGTCCAACAGAAGAGAACACTTCCGAACACTGCCTGGTTTTCCAGCTGAGTCTTGAAGTACGGATGACCTGGGTTCAAATGAACTCTGCTGATCAGGTGGGTCCCCACCAGGGCCTTCTGACCCTCTGCACCTCATTCCTGCTCCCTCACTCTGATGGCAGGTTCTCTGGGATTTTATATCAGAGGCTCCAATCTACTGGGAGACCAGTCAGGTAGAGGAAATGCTAGGGCTGCCCTGTCCAATAGAGTCGCCACAGGCCACATATGACTTCTTGAGTCGGTTCTGACTCACCGCGACCCTGTATAGGGTTTCCTAGGAGCGTTTGGTGACTTTGAACTGCCGACCATGAGGTTCAAATTGACTTTGAGGTCACGTGCTTATCCTACTGTGCCACACCAGTGTCTACTGAGCACTTGATATGCACCTGGTCCAGACTGAGAAGAGTGTGAAATGCTCACCAGATTTCAAGGACTAATTGAAAACAAGAATGAATGATAAAACAAGAATGAACCATTTCTGTAATTTTTATGGTTAATATAAAAATGATGGAAATTGTTCACATTCTTGTTTTCACTTTTAAGTCTCTGAAGGGAGTGCAATGGCTTCATATGATAAGCACTGGAATGCCAACCATAAAGCACACAGTTCATGTCCACCAGCCACTCTGCATGAGAAAGATGAGGCTTTCTGCTCCCATAAAGATTTACAGCCTCGGAAACCCTATACAGGGTCACTGTGAGTTGGAACCTACTCGACAGCATATTTAACAACAATGATTATTAAACTTGAACCACCTGTTTCTTTTTACTTACTATGGCTACTTATTGTTAAGTGCTGTTGAATTGGTCCCGACTCACAGCGACTCTGCATAAGTTTCTGAGGAGTGGCTGGTGGGTTTGAACCACTGACTTAGTGGTTACAGTCCACTATAGCACCACTCTGGGACTACTAGCAAATTTAGAATCACATCTATGACTTGCATTGTATTTCCATTGGCTGGTGCTTGTCTAAAAGGCAGAGACCACGCCGGCAGCAGCTCTGTATCCCAGGGGCCTCCAATACACAGGAGAGCAGGAGTGTGAACACTGGGTCAGCAGATGACAGAAGGAACAAGGACAGGGGTCAGCACACACTCTGATGTGCCACCTGTCTCTGTAAGCAATGTTACTGAAATACATAAAAGACACATGTCTGTACTGCCTTTGGAGTCCCTAGGTGGGGTGCAAATGATTAAGTACTCAATGAAAGGCAGGTACCTCGGAAAAGTCCTAGTGATTTGCTTCCACAAGGTCACAACCTGAAAAACTCTAAGGGGTTGCCATAAGTCAAAAGTGACTTGCAGGTAACTGGTTAATGGGTCCTTTTGTGCTACAATGGCACAGTAGAGTAGTTATGACAGAAACTATTTGGAGTCCTGGTGTGGTGCTGCAGGATGATGCGCTGGACCCCAAGGTCAGTTTGAACCACAAGGTCGGCAGTTCAAAGCCACCAGCCGCTCTGTGGAAACCCAATACAGGGCTGCTATGAGTTGGAACCGACTTGACAACACTTAGCAACAACAACAATCACATGGCCTGCAAACCAAGACCAAACAGAAAATAACCAACCAAGCACATTGCTTTTGAGGTGATTCTGACTCATGGAAACACTGCAGGACAGAGCAAAAACGCTCCCATGGGTTTCCAGTGGTGTCTACCATGTCATTTACAGAAGCAGACTGCCACATCGTTCTCTCAGAGAGTGGCTGGAGGGTTTGAACTGCTGACCTTCTGGTTAGCAGCTGAATGCTTTAACCATAGAGCCATCAGGGCTCCTTATGGCCTGCAAAGTTGAAAATATTTATGATTAGCCCCTGAACCAGACTGTACAGAAATGGGAAAGGCAGTTGAGTAAATGTTTTCTGAATGAATGTTGAATGTATGTGTGTGTATGTGCGGGGCTTACAAAGTTGAGTTCATTAGATGCACCATCTGTGATATGTAATACATGGATCAGACTTATCTAGCAGTTTCCAGAGGCTTTATCTTTACAATGGCCCCCTATTGTGAAGGTGTAGAGAAACAAAAATCCTCACCACTGGACCAATGAATAATATGATAAATGGAGAAAAGATTGAAGTTGTCAAAGACTACATTTTGCTTGGATCCACCATCAACGCTCATGGAAGCAGCAGTCAAGAAATCAAATGATGTATTGCATTAGGCAAATCTGCTGCACAAGACCTCTTTAAAGTATTCAGAAGCAAAGATACCAGATTGAGGATGAAGGTAAGTCTGACCCAAACCATGGTATTTTCAACAGCCTCATATGCATGTGAAAGTTAGACAAGGAATAAGAAAGATCGTAGAAGAATTGATACATTGGAGTTATTGTGTTGGAGAAGACTATTAAAGGTACCATGGATGACCAAAAGAACAAACAATCTGTGTTGGAAGAAGTATAGCCAGAATGCTGTTTAGAAGTCAGGATGGTGAGAGTTTCTCTATCTCTCATACTTTGGACCTATTAACAGAAGGGACCAGTCCCTGGAGAAGGACACTGTGCTTGGTAAAGTGGAGGGTCAGTTAAAAAGAGGGAGCCTCCAATGAGAATTGACTGGCCCAATGGCAGCAGAAATGGGTTCAAGCATGAAAGCTATTGTGAGGCTAAGGCAGGACTGGGCAGTGTTTCGTTCTGTTGTGCACAAAGTCACTATGAGTTGGAACCGACTCGATGGCACCTGGAAACAACAAAACCTGTTTACTCATGTTTACTTTTGGCTAAGTCGAGGCTCAAAAAGATCAAGAACTCATCTAGAAACAAAGAGCAGGGAAAATTGGATATGACTTTAATGTTCAACAAGAAGGGGACATTTCATAAAAATGAATTCACACATAGCCCTGCAATGGAACTGCTGCCACCCTTTCCTATTACATTATATAAACAAACATACCTCAAGATGTTTAGGATAGAATGTTAATTGTGCAAAACAGGCTATATTGTTGTTGTTAATTGTGTAAAACAGGCTATATTGGTGTTGTTACATGCCATCGAGTTGAGTCTGACTCCTAACAACCCTATGTAGGATTTCTGAGGCTGTCAATCTTTAATGGAGCAGAAAGCCTCCTCTTTCTTCTGCAGAATAGCTGGTGGACTGAAACTCTAGACCTCATGGCTTGCAGTCCAGTGTCTATCGAACAGAGCCACCGAGCTCCCAAAGCAGGCTATAAAACAGTATAATGGTGGTAATTTCATAAATCAGGGGTCAGAAAACTATGGTCTATAGGCCATACCTATCCCACCATCTGTTTCTGTAAATTAAATTTTTATTAGAACGTGTCTTTGCTTTTAAGTGCCATTGAGTCGGTTCTGACTCATAGCGATGCTGTATAGGGTTTACGTGGAGCAGCTAGTAGGTTTGAAATGCTGACCTTGTGGTTCACAGTACAGTGCTGATCCTACAGGCCACACATAACCAAGCTGATCTGTTCACATGGAGTCTACGGCTCATTGGTTAAATGTGATGTACTGCAGAGCTGAGGAATTATAATGGAGACTATCTAGCTTGCAAAAACTAAAAGTATTTATTACCTGGTCTTTCACAGAAAAAGTTTGCTGACCCCTGCCATTAAAACACACATACACACACACGTCCAGGAAATAAGTCTGGAACTGGGTGTGCACCAAAGTGATCTTAGTGGCCATCTCTGGGTACGTTTGTTTGTCTTTTGGGAGCTTATCTGTATTTTCTGATTTTTCTGAAATGAATCTAGTGATTTGGCAATAGGCCTTCTGCAGCTCACCCTTATTCTGCCAGCTTTTATTGGGGGTAAAAAGGGGGGATTGCATAATTAAAACAGATAGAAACAGCTGGGTTGATACCCCTATGACTTTCAGTGGCCTCTCTGAGGGAGGAGAGCAAGGGCCCACAAGCCAGTCACACGGCACACAAGTCACAGCTGGCCCCTGGATCTCTAGTGGGTGGGCCCTGATGATCGTTGTTTTCAATGTGACATTCTCAGATCCCAGCCACTGAGCTGTGACTAGCAGGAGCTCAGCTGGGCTGGGAGTGAGGATAACTGGGGAGGCTTCCTAAGGAAAGAGCAGGCTTGGGCTGAGGGGGTGAGGGGGTCCAGTCTTGGAGCAGGAAAAGGGGTTTCTCACCTTGTTCCCGGTCCCCTCCTTCCAGAATTGCACCTCATACTCTAGATCTACTGAGGGCATGCACGGGGGCAGCTGGTATGTGGCATTGATGCTGAGAATCTCCTTTATGCGGGCGAAGGTAAGGGTGGGCGGAGCCGGCTCCACTGGCAGAAACAGAACAGGACTGTCAGTACCCTCAAGGGGTCACAGTGATAGGCCCCAACCCCCAGGCAACCCAGCCAGCTCTTTTAGAAAGAGCACTTTTGCTACCTGCCATGGAGTCAGGTCTGACAGCAACCTTGTATAGGGTTTCTAAGGAGTGGCTGGTGGGTTTAGACCACCAACCTTGGTGTTAGTCCAGTGTTTATCCTACAGTGCCACACCAGGACTCTGGAAAGAGCATTAGCACTTGGTAACACTTACTGTGCACCACTTAAGCCTTTAATTTAGCTTCACAGGGACAGCGGGAGAGAGCGCTATTCCTATTTTACAGGAAGAGAAACTGAAGGCTTTCGTTCACTTGGGGATGTCTTAATTTCTCCGTCACTTTTGAAGGATATTTTGCCAGATACAAATTTAGATGACAGTTTCAATTTTCAGCAATTTAAATATGCCTTCCTACTATCTTCTGGAGTTCTGGTGTGGTGCTGTGGGTTAATGCGCTGGACTGAAAAGTCGGTTTGAACCACAAGGTGGCGGTTCAAGCTCACCAGCCACTCCTCGTAAACCCTGGGTTGGAACCAACTCAACGGCACTTAACAACAGCAATTAGCTTCTGGTCTCTGAGGTTTCTGATGAGAAAATGTCTATTCATTCTCCTGAGAATCCATCATGTGTGAACAATTGCTGATACTGCTTTCCAAACCTTTTCTGTCTTTAGTTTTTGACAGTTTGAATATAATGTACCTTGGTGTGTCTCTCTTTGAGTTTATCCTGTTGTTATTGTGTTAAGTGCTGTCGAGTAGGTTCCTACTCACAGCAACCAAGGAGTGGCTGGTGAGTTTGAACCGCTGACCTTGTGGTTCAAACTAACCTTTTGGTCTAGTGCTTTATCTAACAGTGCTAACTCTGGACTCCTGTTGTTGTTGTTAAGTGCCATCGAGTAGGTTCCGACCCATTGCAACCCTGTACAGGGTTTCCAAGGCTGTAAATCTTTATGGGAGCAGAAAGCCTCATCTTTCTCCTGTGGAGCGGCTGGTAGTTTCGAACTGCTGACCTTAAGGTTTGCAGCCCAATTCATAACCACTACATTACCAGAGCTCCTTCTTGGACTCCTACTTGGAGTTTATTGTGCTTCTTAGATATGTAAATTCATATCTTACATCGAATTTGGGAAGTTTTTGGTCATTTTTTCAAATATTCTATCTGCTGTTTTTCTCTCTCTTCTTCTGGAATTCCTATCATGGTCTTGGGGTTCTATCTCAGGTCCCCTAGTCTCTGCTCATACTTCTTCATTACATTTTTTTTTTTAACGCTCCTAAGACAACGTCACTATGGGTCGGAAATGACTCGATGGCACATAACAGCAACAAGGAAAGACGATGGAAAAGCTCCATTTCATCAGTGAAAACAAGGCCAGGGGCAGATGTGGAACAGACCATCAATTACTCACATGCAAATGCAAACTGA